ACTGGTCACTGTTACCTCATAGATGAGGAACCTCGCAGATGTCACTGATTCTTTCATGGTTTCCCACATAAAATAATACACAATAAGCAGTTGTTATTTAGGATCAATATTCAGCTGTAATGCTCTGTAAATGTTTATTTCTTTACCAGTCTTCTGACATTGCATTGTGGGAATATTTCAACTTCATATTAGATTGGATGAAAATATTGTTATGGTTTAACTGGACCCTCTCCAATGCAAATGTTGGGCACATTATGACGGCAATGAAATGACTTCAGAGAGGATGAATTCAAATTTCTCATTCAAATGACGCACAGTGTGACTGCATAGTGCAGTACAGAGTGCCATATACAGTAGCATTTATCATAGTTGACTAAGTATTTAAGTATTTTTGCAAGAAGGAAAATCCTCCTCCATTTTCATTCTTGTGTTTTGAGTTGGTCTGTTGAGCTCATGGAAATGTTACATTTGCTCTGTGGAGTTTTTTTTTTTTTTGTTAACAAACAAAAGGTATGTTTGCATTGTGGGTTACTTACCTTGAGGACTAAAAAACACAAATATTGTATTTCCTCCCTTATAAAACACTTGCATTGTTCTCAAAAGTTTGAAACCAGAATTGTTTTCATTTGTGTCCAAAATGCATCTCCCCAAACACTGCTGCTAAAAAAAGGGACATCTGTAAAAACTGTGGACCAGGAACCTTTAATCCCACATCATCTAGTTCTCTTTATACAGCTTTGTCAAACTAACTGGTTCTTTATCTGTTTATTCCAAAGTATAAGATGAAATATAAAACCTAACACAGATTGAGCAAATATTTTTTAATGCACAAATTTGAATTGTGCATGAAAATGATAGATAGAAATGCCAGAAATGTTATGAAAAGCTTAAATATTGCAAGCAGAGAGTTTGCATATGAAAAAAGAGATGCTGTCATCCTTCCTCTTCTACTGTAGATAAAACTCTCTTTTGCTGCCTCTCAACATTATAGGCCTGCACTCCACCAGAAAGCCACAACTACGTGTAAAGAATCTTACTCTACTGAATTTAACTTTGATACTGTCTGTCATTAATTATGTAATGCTGCCATGTTCACTAGAATATATTTGATGGAAATATGCTTCTGCAAAATGTTGATAGAAACATCACTAAAGAGTCGTTAAACAGAATCTGGGATGCTTTTACAAAGCTGGTATAGGTTAGAGAAAAGCATTTCTTTTTTGCCCTTGTCAGAAAATATCACATATGATTAATGCGAACTCTCAACAGTAGGAGAACTAAAAGCATGCTGGGTACTCAGGACGTTATGGGGCGTGCAGAAGCACATCCTTCCAGTTTGGTATAATGACAAAATGAAGCCGGTGCTTTGAAGAGACATTCCCAGTGGACGAGCAGCCGGAGCGGTCTATCAGGCTCTCAGGCTGTGCTGCTGAAACCATTACATTAACCAGCGGATCACAGAATGGATTATGACCTTTATTTTTTCACCGCTAAGTGTTGGTATTTATAGAAACATGATTATGAAAGGAGAGCCGCTGCAGACAGAGATGTGATGTTGGGTGGATTAGGAAGGAACATTTCAAGATGGGATTTCTTTTAGTTCTGCGTCAGCCTCGAGGAAGACACGGCAGCGCTAAACTTCAGATTTGACAGTAAAAATATGCACTGACGACAACACTACACCTGTCATCACTGCCAGAGCTGCAGCTAATGATTATTTTCATTATGGTTTAATCTGCCTTTAATATTCTTGATTAATTGCATCGCTGATAAAACGACAGAAAAGAGTAAACAATGCCCGGTGTAATTTCCCAGAGGTATGTTTAATCCAGCCAACAGTCCAAAACATCTAAAGCTATTCAGTTAATCATGTATGACAAAGAAAAGCATCCCATTCTCACATTTAATACACATCAAAGCAGTATATATTTGGCTTTAGAAAAACGACTTAAACAATTATTCAGTGATCCAAATAGTTGCCAGTTAACTTTCTGTCGATTGACTAACAGATTAACCGGCTAGTCATTGCAGCTGTAGTAGTGTCTTTGTAATTTGCATGTCAGTGCATTGCAAAAAAACAAAAAAACTAGTGCACATGCCTCAGACAGCAGTTGTGGTTTCATTTCAAGAGTTTTTGGAGCTGAAGTAAAACCAGAACCTAAGGTCCCCTTCCAGAGTTACCAAAGTCCAGATTAACATTCATGATATTTAAAAAATATCAGCCCTACAAATGTAACTGTACACATTTTGTTGTGTGGTTCACTCCAGCAGGGGCTGATCCAGAGGTGGCATCTGTGAAGCTGTAGCTAAATGCTAATGCCACTGTACTAATCTGCTCACAATGACATGGCTAACATACTTATGTTCAGCAGGTATAATATTTACCATGTTCATTATCATAGTTTAGCATGCTAACATTTACCAATAAAAACTTATTTTTTTAAGTCACAAACATCCTTTGTCCACTCTTTAGTCACAATTTCAAAACTCATAAACACCATTAGCACAACATGTATCTGTGCTTCGTATCTATTATTAAACTGCTTACATTTTTTTTACATTCAAGCTTACCCAGTACAAAAAGGATAGATCTGTCTTGACTTATTTACAAATGCTTGCACACAGCATGCCAGAAATAAAAACCTAATGCTCAAAACTTTACATACAGTATGAAGCCTCTACTTGTGCACCAACAGCATCCCAGAAGCTATATTAACACAGCTGATAAGCATTTTCAAATGAACAGATCATTGAAACATTAAGGAGTAGCTGATTTAAGTTGTGTCACACAATCACATCTGATTGTAATCTCACATGGAGACATAGCCTGGTGTTGCCGTTCCTTCAATTACATGCACACATACAGTAAAAGGGGACTTTATTTTATTTATTGTGTTTAATGTGGATACAGAATGATACAGAGGAGCAGAGAGAGAAAACATAATGTCTGTACAAGTGGAGCAAAGACAGAAAATTGAATATTTGGCCAATTGTGTGATGTCGGTGTGTTGCTGTGTGAAGAGTTAAGAAAACGTATCTGAATAAGAGGTGAAGTAAAACAAAGTACAGCTAAGACTGATGGGCTGATTTCTGTGCTAGATGTAAAGTGAGGGGATCACCAAACTTATTACGATTCATCCTGAAGGGAACAGGAATGTGCGAACTAAGTTTCATGGCACTTGGTTCAGTAGTTGTTGAGGCATTTCACTCAAAACTATAAATTTTAGCCTCTACGTGGTGCTAGAGGAAAAAGTCAAGAGCTCACCATCGTCTAATGAAAATTTTCCACCCAATAGTTGTTGAGACATTTCAGTCTGGATCAAAGTGGTAGACCAACATAGAGCCAAGCAGCAAGCATGAGACAGTTAAAGCTGAAACTGTTCTAAAATCTGACATTCAACCCAGACTTAAGTATTATTGATTGTTTTTTATTGCACTTCCACCCATTATTTTAAATGCAGAAAGACGCCATGCAACAAGAACACAGCAGCCTGCAGGTGGCCATCCCGTACCACAATGCTAACTGTATTCCTCTATATTGACCTGTTGATCCTGGTTTACTGTTTGTTTTCAGCAGAGAAACTCGCTGCGGTTTCCAAAAGACTCCGCCCTATGAAATGTGGCTTTCCTTGTTTGACAAGTTTGTAGGAAAACACCAGCGTGTGTGTGTGTGCCTGTGTCTGCAGTGATCGTGCTAAAGACCTGCCCTCACCCCACCCTTCTCACTCTCTTCCTGTGTGTCAGTGTGAGAGTGCTCATCATGTCGTCAGAGATGATTTGCAATTTGCCCTGAAGCAACAGGAAAACCTGGGTCACCCTTGGGTGTTTGGTTAATGAGCAGACCAGAAATCGGCTAAAATAAACTTTGCACTCATATTAAACTGTAATCTGAAACTGACCCAGGTTCAGCTCTTACAGGGGGAATGTATTTCTGTAGTAAGGTGCTGCAGCTGTGTTTTAGCACAGGTTGCTGCTGCCCTCTAGAGGAAATGAGACCAAATATCAGCTAGGTGTTTTGTTTATGTGGTCCATGCAAACTGTACAAAAGTCCTGTCAGCTATACACAGGCCATACAACCTGTTAACCAGTTTGTGTTGGTGGTGGTGATATTCTCTAATCACGCAAAAAGTGATGTGGTTGAATTTGCTCAGGTTGTAAGATTTCAGCCTGTCAGATTTCTGCCATCACCCCAGGAGATAAAAATGTATTTAATTTTTTAATTTCAACATCTCTTTCCTTACACACTGTCCCTGTTACTCTAACACTGTCATCAGTTTTCATTGGACCTACTCTCAAACAAATAAGTGATCTCAAGCTGCAAACAATATTTTTGTTATCGATGACTCTGAAGATTGCGTTTACAACTAACTCATGTGTCTATAAAATGTCAGAAAATAGTGGAAAAGGCACATCATTTCCCGGGTGACACCTTCACTTTCTTGTTTTCGTTGAACGGTCAATATATTTTGCTTTAATGTCATGTATGACGAAGTAAAGCATCTAATTCTCACATTTTTTTGGCATCTTTACTTGAAAATATGACCAAAATTATTAACTGAATATCAAAATAGTGGCCAATAAATTCTCAGTCAATCACCAGTTTAACTCAGAAGCTCTAAAATGATCTCTTTTAAAATGAATTACATTGTTTCCTGTGGCGTGTCCAAAGTAACGTGAACATGGAAAAAACTGATGTATTCCCACACCCCTATCAGAATTCCATCAGCCATTAGAAACATGTATCCCATGGCGTGCATGTGCAACCTAGCTATTTACACTCTAACATATACACACATACCACACTACTGTTACAGTATCTCATGTCAGGCTGCCTAAACACCAGCTGTGATTGCAGCCAGGGTTTAGTGGCGTCTCAATATTCAGTACATGCTGGTTGTTTCCTGTTAGGATCAGTCAGGAAGCTGCAGCCCTCGTCTTTCAGTGTGTGTGTATCTTACATAAATAGTGTCTGGAACCAGAGACGAGTATACTGTATGTGTTGGTGCAAACTTGTTGATACACGTGTGTGTGTTTTAGACATGTGCAGGGCTTGTTACATGTATGCAGACATATAGACCGGTGCAGATTTTTAACCCTTTGCTTGAGCAGGCGTGATTCTGCAGGGCAAAAAACAAACAGCTGGAAATCCTTTTCACAATCACAAATTTATCATTCAGAAAAAAATATACATGTTTTAAGGTTATTCTTTATTAATATTCTCCCTCCCTCTGTCTTTCTACCTTCTTCATAATCTCCCTCCATTCTTCACCCCTCTTATCTTTTATTCTTTCTTTTCCTCCATCCATCTATCTCAGTGGTTTGTGTGACAACATTATCCAGGACATCATCTACAACTTTGTGGTCCTCCCCAACCGCATCACCATCCCTCTGGTGGGAGAGGCCCAGCTGGCCCAGCTACGCTTCCCAATACCCAAGGTATTATACACACTCACATAGTTCCCATGGTCTTAAAGCAATACGCCCATATTGATAAATCTTTTGATTGACTGAAAATGATTTGATAAGGAATTTGTCCTCTTGTTTCAGATGTGATGATTCTCTGCTCTGTGCTGTTTTATATTGTTAGCCGAATTTGCTCGCCGAATCTCATGTTTTACTTCAACCCTCCAATCACAACTGTTTATCTAATATGGGGCGAGATTGAAACAATGACTGACAACAAGTGTAGCCTTCACACTTGACACAGAATATATTATGACTTCATTTTTGGCTCATGCAGCCTCGAACCGGTGGCACGTTGGCGAGAAACATAGCTTAGTAAAGAGGAGCACTGTTGAGGCATTTTCGAAAACAACCAAGATGGCTGCCGCTTATGTTGAACTTTCTGTTAAAGTACTATTTTTGAAATTCTGATGTGACTTGCTTACATATACATTGATGCTACACCATCACAGCTCATCTGTACACACTGTGGTCTGTTTATTTGTCTGCCACTCAGCGCTATGTCACATTTCATTACTTTGATTGATTGTAGGTCTATCCTAATACGTCCAGAGGCATTTTAGTCTAAGGCTGTTGATGCCCCTTGGAAATTGAAAATGAACTGAGAGGTTACAGATTAACTTGCATCTGCAATTTGGTTTGGCGATGCCAGGCTAGATTTATATCCTTGGAAAGTGAAAGTGAAAATGAAAATTATTATTTATTGCATTATACTATTAAAATGACTAACTATTTTTACTGATAACAGTGTGGCTTTGTTTGAAAAAAAGCCCCCAAATCCCAAACTTTCCTTTGATCATTAATGTCTGAACGTCAGCTGCTGCTCATTGTAATCATCATCAACTGCCCATTGTCACTTTAAAGGTATTAAATTAATACTCTGTGCTTTGTTTTTTATTCTACATCCTGCTCAATGGTGCTCCAATTCAAATTAGCTTAAAGCTAACTCACATGTCTTTGATTATACATGGGCCTGCTTGAGAAACTTAACTAGAAAGACCCCACTTACTCTCACACCCCTCATGACTTAAGTTTTAATCAACAGAGGAACCACTAATTTGTGTCACCATGATAGAGCTTTTAAGTCTTGTGGCTCACTGATGTAATTTCCAGTGTTCTTTAGGTTTCAGATTAACTTCTCATCCTCTTGTTAATGAGCAAGAAGTGAAGCTTTTATTATTTCCCCTCAGGTTAGCTTTCTACTGCTAAATAACTTTCAAATTGCCAAAGATCTTTTACAACACTCAGAGATGACCTTTGGATTCAGCCTTGAGGCATATGTGGGTGCCAATTGTCCTCTTTTGACACAGGTCCACACATATTTGGGTTCAAATTTTATTGTACATATTAAAAAATAAGATATCAAATGAGTTCAAAGATGGTCTTTCCCCAGTGTCTCTTTTACTCCCTCTTTTTCTGGTCTAGCTTCATCTCACACTCTCTGTTACTCGTCTGTCTCCTCAGGGTGTCCTGAGGATCCACTTTATCGAGGCCCAGGACCTGCTGGGTAAAGACAAGTTCCTAGGAGGGCTCATCAAAGGCAAGTCAGACCCATACGGAGTCATCCATGTTGGGACCCAGCTCTTCCAGAGCAAGGTCATCCACGAGACCGTCCACCCGAAATGGAATGAAGTATACGAGGTGAGCCACACACTCTGACAGAGGGTTTCTTTTGGAAGGAAATTTGAGTATATATGTTTTATTATTTATATTTTTCTATTATTGAATAAGTTAAATTTTAGTTTGGCCTCATGCATCCAACGATACACACAGCATACATGGGTCCCATCAAATTAAGAACCTTCCTGTCTGGTACATGTGGAGTAAAGTGCTAGCACTTTAACAGCAGTGTATGTGTATATGTGAGTGAAGGTCGTATGAATTTGTTTATTTGTATTTACAGGCCTTGATCTATGAAAATACAGCACAGAATGTGGAGATTGAGCTGTTTGATGAAGACACTGACAAAGACGACTACCTGGGAAGGTACAGCTTCTGATAAGACAACAAAACTGCTCCTTATTGCCAGAACCTAAACCTCTCTACGTCTTCTGACCATTGTTAAACATTACATGTCTGTCTCCTTTTGCTTATAATGTCTAAATAGTTTACATAAGTTAAGGCACTTTTTAAGGGATGATTAAGGATAGACCATCTAGCGTAAGTGATGTAGGTAGTAACGAAATCTGAATACAGGTTGTCGCTGGAGACACATGATAGACACAGGTGTGAGCAGCGATGTGTCTCGGCTTTCCACTTATGTTCAGATCACCAAAACACATCTTAAAACTAAGAGTAAACAGTGTCAAAGTTTCTGTAGTTTATGGGTTAACTAGTACATACTTTGCTTAGCATATTTTGTCTCTCACGTCTTATACAAATCATATTTGTCATAAACAGCCTGCACTGTATGTAATAGGATTTCACACTCCATTTACCAGATGGTAGTTTTCCATAGAAGGACAGGGCCCCAGAAAGTGATGGGTGAATCCACGGTGGTGTTTAATGAGTGCAGCGCTGTGTATCTGACTTTAATTTCCACCAGAGCCCATTAACTGAGCCGCCGTGTGAGAAACAGTCTGTCGTGACACTGCAGCCAAACTGCAGCGCGATGAGTCAGCCTCGCTCAGTGAAACTTTTGTGTTGTTTGTGACTTGTTTTTCAGTCTGTTGATCGACGTGGCCGAGCTCCAGAAGGAACAGAAGGTCGATGAGGTAATCTACATCTCCTCCTCTCAGTGCAGTCAGCTCCATTTTAGACTCAAATACTTAGATAAAGCAGGAAATTACTGTGGTGCTTCTACACTGCACATACAAGAGATCACCCGTGGGTGGTGCCGAAGTTTATTTGATGTTCTGTTGATAAAGTTAAAGTTTTTGTAAGTTATACCTGTATTTTTTTTTTTTTTCAACTTTTCAGCCATAATTCATGTTCAGCATATTAATGCTCACACCAGCTACCCAGTTCTTTTTTTAATGATTTTTTTCTAGCTTCAGAAATTTAATTTTGTGACATTTATTTTCTCCTTTTTTTAAAATGACCAACCAGTACAGACCAAATACCATAAAACAAATAGATTGCCTTATTGCTCACATTATATACAATATAGCTACTGTCATAATTAAGTTAAATAAAGTACCTTTATAATAAAGTCATGTATTGTCATAATTAATTAAATCAAAGCAGAACCACTATTGTTCTTCATCTCATTGAAAGAAGGGAGAGATTTAGACTATTTTGATCTACAGACCTCAAATAAGTTTGAATTAAAATTGTAAATAGACATTTGTGGGTTCTAATATTATGTTTTTTTATTCTGATATGGACAATAATGTGCTGTTTTCTTCCCAGACTGTCATGTATGAACAATCATTAGAGAAAAAAAGCTATTGCATCTTCTATGTCTGAAGAACCCTTGAGTATTCTGCCATTAATATTAACAACTGACATTTCTTTATCTACAGTGGTTTGTGATGGAAGACGTGGCTACAGGGAAGCTGCACCTCAAACTGGAGTGGTTGTCTCTGCTGCCCACACCTGAGAAGATGGACCAGGTACAGAGCCATTGCTTTACTTAAAGAAACTGCTCACCTTATGCAGTTCATATAAATGATTAAGATGTCATATTAGGCTCTGGGGAACCTGTGATGGACATTTAACCTCCAGCTCGCCTGAACCTTGTGCCACATTCTTCACGTGAAGCCTCGCAGGACCAGTTTTACCAAAAACCAAGTAGTTATTTATCAGTTCTTCTCTCCTCACAGGCACTAATGAGCATCAAAGCTGATCGTGGTCAAGCCAATGATGGCCTGTCGTCTGCGCTGCTGGTCGTCTTCCTTGATTCAGCCAGAAACCTGCCGGTAAGTCAGTCTGGTTGAACTTCCCAACGTGCACCTGCAGTAATGATTTCCAGATATTTGTTAAGCCCAGGTGAAGAAAATGGTCATTTACAGATGCTTCATTTAAGGAAAGCATGTAGAGGCTGATGTTTATGAGCTCTCCTGTTGACTCCTTCTGAACTTTCCATTTGTCATCATTACAGGTTGCCATGTAGGGATGGAAACATGTTTATTTTCTTTGGCGCATGTATAGCTTTTTTATTTAAACCCATTTTATATGCAAACATAGATATATATATATATATATGTGTGTGTGTGTGTGTGTGTATATATATATATATGTGTATATATATATATATATATATA